CCCCACCCCTGGCCTCTCCCTCTCTCTCCCTCATTCATTCATCCCTTGACTTACTTTGTCGGGGGGCAACTCATCACAGAAGATTTCAAGATTTTTCTGTATCTTCTCCTGTCCATCAAACCATTGGACCACTTTTCCTTTGGTAACCCTCTTGTACAACTTCTTCAAACAGTGTGTGTGTGTGTATGTGTGTGTGTGTGTGTGTGTGTGTGTGTGTGTGTGTGTTTGTGTGTGTGTGTGAGTGTGTGTGCGTGCCTGTGTGTGTGCCTGTTTGTCTGTGTATGGGTGAATGGGTGTGTTTGTGTTTGTGTGTGGGAGGTGTCCGACAATTGCAACTCCCCTTGACACCTCGTGGTATAGGTAGACAGAATAAGTAAAAAAGTAAAAGTTAAGCTTCACATAATAATATGCTCCCCACATTCACCTGAGACTGATAACTCGATTCGCAACATCCTCAAACCCATCCACAATCATCTCACTCGTTCCCCACGAGGTGGTTGCCAGGATGGCCAGGTCACGTCTGATGGCCGTGTTGTTGGCCAAAATAGCCAGGAACCTTTGGTTGTCGTGAGAGTCTAGCAGGGAGATTGTCGGAGAGACAGCCTTGTTTGCCTGAAGGCCCATCAGCATGCGCTCTGCCCCATCCACGTCTGTGCCGATGTTGTGGGAGGCCACGACACAGATTCCCTCCTTCGCTGAGAGTTCCCGGAAAACTTTTTCTGCGTTTTGGGAGTAGTGCATGTCTGAAGTGACCAGCTGAAGAGACAAAAAAACGGGTTTGGTCAATTTAAATTTTGTGTACAGATGGGTACATCAGTGCCATAACAGTAATTTCCAGCTCTGGGAAAAAGAAAGAAAGACAAACAGAAACAACACAGGGAAATTTTAAAAAGTAAGACCTACCACTACCAGAGGCACCCTTCAACCACCTGCACCAAGAGAGAATAAATTACAATAAAACAAGAAAATCTGAGGTTCACAATTAACTTTTCTCATCTTTTCTAGAACATTCTGGAACATCCTACAATCGACCTGTACATACATCAATAAACTTACCTGCACATACATCCAGTTCCACTGTTTCAACAACAAGATCATCGCCTTGATCTCCTCATAAATCCCTGGCAAGGCACGGATGTAATATGGATATCTCCGGTCATCATCCAGCTCAGAGCTGCCCGCCCGGTAGCCGACCATGGGCCTCATTAGCATATTCATGGCCTCGGCAAGGGGCAGGGTAAGGGGAGAGGAATAGGCTGCTGTGTAGGCTTCAACTGTCCGGGGGTCTAGTTCTTCACCTCCACTGCTCTTGATGACAATGTTGCCTCTTTGGACCTATGTCAAGGACAAATCAAAACGATTCTTTTTCAGATTTGTGTTGAGAACAAATCACAGAGATATTTTTACAAATCACAACAAACTATTTTTTTAGATTTGTGTTACAGACCAATTTCAACAAATTTTTTTTAAATTTGTGTTGAAGACAAATTACAGCATTTGTTTTGGTTATATTTGTGTTGCAGACAAATTACAGCATTTGTTTTGGTTATATTTGTGTTGCAGACAAATTACAGCATTTGTTTTGGTTATATTTGTGTTGCAGACAAATTACAGCATTTGTTTTGGTTATATTTGTGTTGCAGACAAATTACAGCATTTGTTTTGGTTATATTTGTGTTGCAGACAAATTACAGCATTTGTTTTGGTTATATTTGTATTGCAGACAAATTACAGCATTTGTTTTGGTTATATTTGTGTTGCAGACAAATTACAGCATTTGTTTTGGTTATATTTGTGTTGCAGACAAATTACAGCATTTGTTTTGGTTATATTTGTATTGCAGACAAATTACAGCATTTGTTTTGGTTATATTTGTGTTGCAGACAAAATTTCAATAATTTTTTTTAGTTTTGAGGTTGAGGAGAAATTAAAACAAATTTTTTATCAGATTTGTGTTAAGAAGACGGTTCATTAATACTTTTTGAAGACATCTTTTTGTTTTGTTTAGTTTGGGAAGCAGCAACACGATAACAGTTGTCTAGAGCAGAGAAAGAGTAAGACAGACAGACAGACAGACTGACAGAACAAAGTGACAAAAAATTTTAAGAAAAGAAATGAACATCGGCATAATAATGGTCATTTAGTGCAGGAGACAGACAGACAGACGGACGGACGGACGGACGGACGGACGGACGGACGGACGGACAGACGGACAGACGGACAGACAGACAGACAGACAGACAGACAGACAGACAGACAGACAGACAGACAGACAAATATAGAAAGAAATATAATCTCCAATGATAATGCCCAACTCAAAATCAATGGCCATACCAACAACTCAGCAGGTGTTCTGCTAAGCTACAGTGAGGACAACCCTGATTCAAATCCTCAATGGAGCAAGCATTCTTATACTTGTATTGTTTAACAAGTTTTCTAAAAAGTTGGTTTAGTCCTACCATAGATGAATAGATGTTCAACTCTTTTCAAATTACCTCAC